ACCCGCAGCAGCTCCAGATCCTCCAGCGCTAGCACCCGCAGCAGCTCCAGAACCCCCAGCTCCAGCACCCTCAGCAGCTCCAGACTCTGCACCTCCAGGCTCAGCACCCCTAGGCTCCGCACCCCTAGGCTCAGCAACCCCAGAAGCAGGACCCCGAACAGGACCACCCTCAGCAGGACCTGAGTCACCAGTGACCTCAACCGGCGCAGTCAAGGGAGGAGGGTCTACCTGAGACACACCTGAAGGAGCAGGACCGGGAGTGGGGAGGGGGTCTACCTGGGGAGCACCTGGAGCAAGGAAGAGCGGCGGGGAGGGGAGAGGGGCATTGCGGTAGGGGACGAGACGGTAAAAGGGAACCGACTCGTCGAACGTGACATCCTGAGAGGGGAAGACATGGCGCGAGGTGGGGTGGTAAAACTGCCAACCAGGCGCGTCAGGGACAAAGCCAAGGAAGACACTAAGAAGAGCGCGGGCGGAGAGCTTGTCCGCGGTGGTATCGCGGACAAAGGCACGAGCACCCCAGACTCGGAAACGCGACGCATCGCCAACCTTCCCCGTCCACAGCAGTGTGGGCGAGGTCTTCGGCAAGGAGACACGGGGCTAGAGGTTGAGCTGATGCGCGGCGTACCGGACCGCAAACGGCCACAAAAAATGGAGGGCAGCCGCATGGATCATGCAGGTACGAGCGACCTCCATGACTAAGCCAATGCGGCGCTCAGCAACCCCATTCTGCTGCGGAGAGGCTGGAAGCGTGAACGACTGGGTGATGCCGTGCACCTCACATAAGGCTGCCAAGAGGTCGGAGGAAAACTCACCACCTCTGTAAGAGTGCTGACGCAGGACGGGAAACTCCGTCCCAAACCGCTAGTGGAGCTGGAGACGAGCAGCGCGGATCCAGAAGATCAAAACATTAGGGACCTCACTCTTGGTGCGCAAGGGGAAGACCGTGGTGTAACGCGTGTAGTCGTCGACGACCCGCAGGAAGTACCGCTCGTGGCCCTGTCCACGGACGCGGGCTTGGCCCCACACGTCCAGGTGGAGAGTCTGCAGGGGAGCCTCTGTGAGAGGGAACGAGGAGGAGTGAGGAGCGGCGCGCTGCCGCCCCTCGACACAGGGAAGACAGGGAGGAGCAGGCGAGGGTGGGTCGGGAGGGATAACCCTGGGAAGACCAGAGACAAGGACACGGCAATGCATGCTGCGAAGGCGCTGCACCGAGGGGTGACGAAGGCGGTGGTGCCAAAGGAGGGTCTGGTGCGACAGGGCGCGACACGAGCAGGGGGCCGACAACTGACCTGACGCAGACGCAGCTACCTGAGGTGACTCAGTGGTCAGTGTGTACAAGCCTGACCCCGGGTGCCGAGTGAAGGTAGCCAGGCGACGACCCGTCTGAGCACACGTGCAGTGTGTCACACGCTCGTAGGCAGGGGTGAACTGGTGAACACCCGCACCCTGGAGCGCAGAAGCCGCCACCAAGTTCGTAGAGAACGAGGGGAGGTGAAGACCCGACAGTGTGCCAGACGGGACAGCAGGACAAGGGAGGACAGCGGAAGAGGTCGCACGGACTGGACCCCCAAAGGGGTCTGCCAGAGAGACTAGAACTGGCCGACTGAGCGGCGTGAGGGTGGTGCTGTCACGAAAGAAGGAGCGAGAAGCACCAGAGTCAAGTGTGAAGGTGTACAAGGCCTGTGCAGGTGCAGTACTAGAGAGAGCAGACTCACCTGCACCTGGAGCTGCAGTCTCACTCGTACCTAGAGCAGGAGACACACTAGCCCCTAGAGCAGCAGCCTCACCATCACCTAGAGTAGCAGGCTCTATACCTGGGTCAGGCGGTACGCACAGGTAACTGGCACGGTCAGCACTAGTAGGCAATGCATATATGGCAGTGAGAATAGTATCATAGTCAAGAGCAAAGATATCTACCCTTTGCCCAAGCAGCTCCACGCAGTTGGGGAGCTCAGCCTCCTCGCCAAACTCGGTATGCCAGACGTCGCTCAGACGGGCGAAGCAGCGGGACTCTGTGTGACTGAGCGTCCCGCAAGCCTGACCAGTCCGAGCACTAGTGCGAATGACGTACGTGCAGCGAACGGTACTCAGAAACCCTCTACTCTGAGCGTACCACTCGTGAAGCTGCTGAGACGTAAGTGTCTCGCGTGGACGCCGCTGCAGCTGCAGCTGGCCACTGCCAGACTCTCCCAACTGACTAGCTCTAGGGCGACAGCTACAACGCCTACCGCGACAACCCCAACTAGCGTACCACTCATTAAGCTGCTAAGGCGGCGAGACTCGCGCGGAAATCGCTGGAGCTGCATCTGGCCACCGCCAGTAGTAGCAGTAGTAGCAGCAGTAGCAGCAGTAATAGCAATAGCAGTAGTAGCAGTGCGGCCACCCTTACAACCCCAACTAGCGTACCACTCACTAAGCTGCTGGGGCGTGAGGGACTTACGCGGACGTCGCTGGAGCTGCATCTGGCCACCGTCAATAGCAGCAGTAGCAGTAGTAGCAGCAATAGCAGTAGTAGCAGCAGCAACGCGTGCAGGGTAGGCGCGGCTGACAGGCAGGCAGGCAGGCCGGCAGGCAGGCAGGCAAGCAGGCAGGCAGGCAGGCGGCAGCGCATGAACAAGGTAGGTGCTCACCAGTGGCGGGAAGGGCAGTCGCACGATGGCGGCGAGGGCGGAGCCGCTACAACTGCGGCAGAGGAGGGCCGCGTCGGCGGTAGGGCAGGTCCGCGACAGCTGCTGCAGGGCGGGGCCGTGACAGCTGCAGGGCGGGGCCGCAACGGCGGCAGAAGGCTCAGCGGCAGCTGCTCAAGGGCGGGGCAGCGAACGCGGCAGGAGGCTCCGCGGCAGCCGCTGCAGGGCAGGGCCGCGACCGCGACAGAATGCTCCACGACAGCTGATGCAGGGCAGGGCCGCGACGGCGGCAGAAGGCTCCGCGGCAGCTGCTGCTGGGTAGGGCCGCGACTGTGGCAGGGTGCTCCATGGCAGCTGCTGCAGGAGCGACGGTGGCAGCTGCTGCAGGGCGGCGTCCAGGGGCAGCCGCGGCGCGCGAGGCTGCAGCGCGCTGCGTGTGCTGCAGGCGCAGCGCGCGGGGCTGCAGCGCGACGCGCGGGCAACGAACGCGGTGCGCGGGGCTGCAGCGCGACGCGCGGGCAGCGGGCGCGACGCGCAGGGCTGCAGCGCGACGCGCGGGCAGCAAGCGCGACGCGCGGGGCGGCGACCTGGCCTGACGGGTGTGCAGGGGCGGCTCGCGGGCCTGACGGACCTGCAGAGGCGGCTAGCGGGCCTGACGGGCCTGCAGGGACGGCTGGCGGGCCTGACAGGCCTGCAGGGGCGGTGCTCTGGCCTGACGGGCTTGTAGGGGCAGCGCTCTGGCCTGACGGGCCTGCAGGGGCGGCTTGCGGGCCTGATGGGCCTGTAGGGGCGGCTAACGGGCCTGACGGGCCTGCAGGGGCGGCGCACGGGCCTTACAAGGCTGTAGGGGCGGCGCGCTGGCCTAGGGCAGCAGTAGGCAGCGCGAGGGCTGCAGGACGGCGCGCGCAGCGCAGCACGTCACAAGGCAAGGCAGGCAGGCAGGCAGGCTCAGGACAATACGTGGGGTAGCATGGTAACTGCAACGGTAGGCAGGGCTCTCGTTATCAGACTAATTTGGTCTGATGGTCTGATTTTCAGACCTTTATTTTTCCTTTCATCTGAACCATAAGACAGTGCTTTTTATTTCGTTTGATCCATAAGAGAAAGGATTTTAGTTAGTCTGAATTATCAGAGCAGGCGTTATACTTCGTCCGAAATTTCAGATAGTGAGTTTCGTTTCATCTGATACCGACAATTCTGCCCACGTAGCCATAGGTTGTCAGTTCTGGCAGGCACCTTTGGTGGCTGTGATTGCACGTGTAGTAGTTTGCGTCGCCTCACTGGCCGAATTTTGTAGTGTACTGTACCAGCACAAAGCCCGCCTCGTACCAGCCCAACCAAGTCCCTTTGGCTTCTACCAGCCTAGCCAGGCCACCATCCCCCCCCCGCGTCCGCCAGCCAAGCGCTACCGTAAGTCCCCCTTGCCTCTACCAGCCTAGCCACCCTACCAACTCCAGCCCAGCACTTCACCCAACTCCCTCGCACTGTCGCAAATCTTCCAGCAAAGTCCTCCCCCCCCCCCCAACTCTCACATACCTTTCCCAGCCCAACCCTTCCCCCACATTGACCGCTCTTACCCTAGTCCAGCCCCACTCCCCTCTCGAGCCCCACGCCTCACAGTCCTGTCCACTAACGTGCAGTCTAATGCACCGCTGCTACGTCATCAAGATGCAAGTTGCAACATCAGACGCGGAAAAAAATTTTGTCTGAGATTTTCAGACATGTAATGGAATTTTGTCTGAAAAGAAAGACACGCGAAAATTTCCCGTCCGAACGTCAGACGAAACGGATTTTTGGGTTCAGGTTTTCAGACAGGCCAAAATCCTAACGAGAGCCCTGACGGTAGGTGGGCCCGAAAAAAAGGCAGTCCTACGGACCTAGTGCTCTGAAACCATGTTAGAAATTAGCACCAGGAATGATTGAACTATGGAAGAGTTGGGTACAAATATGAAACCCTAAAGTGGGCTGTACCCCATATTGGCTACCCCACTTCAGCCTAAACATGTATAGTAGATATAACGTTTGACACGCAGAACGCCGCCGTGCCAGACGGGCCGCGAGCGATGGGTCAGTTTCGACTTGACTAGAAGAAAAACAGACCACTTCATACTAGAATTTCATTTTTGTTTCCTCTTTCTCTTTGCAATGCTGGAAAGGATTGTGGTTACAAGTGTCCACCCAAACTTCACCCCTCCCCTTTTTAATCCTGGTTACGATAGTCAACGGCACAACACTACATGTTTATCGAATCGTACTCGTTAGCGAAATTACAGTCAGGTTTGCGTTTCTCTGCGCGGAGTTACATGTCACGCATCGCCCACGTCGCACTTGGACCTACAGATACGCCAAACTCCTTTCTTCGCCGCGCGCATGAGTGGCATGACTCACGACGACCCTGAAAACCCGCCTCTGCACCAATCTCTGCACGTCCGAGCGAGGGATGCGGCGGAACCATCGGCGGGAATCGCGGGGCCGCGCGGAGAAGAGCTGCAAGTGGCGAGACCAGTAGAAGGACCAGCGGCGCCGGGGCAAGAAGCGGAATTTCCAGAGGCGGGGAAAGTGGGGGGAAGCGGAGGGGGAAGATGGGGCCGCGCTGAGCTGTCAGCGGCGGAGAATGGCGCAGCGCCCGCGGTAAGGGGCGCGAGCGGCGGAAGGGGAACGCGCGGCGGAAGGGGACCGGGTGGCGGAAGGAAGCGGCGGAAGCGGATTGCAGTGGCGCGCACAGTCCTGGGATGCGCGTGCGCGCTGCTGGCGCTTCTGGGGGTTGCGCTGATGGCGCGGAGGGGGGAAGACGGCGGAATTTCGGGCGCGTGGCTCGCAGGTACGGTCAATCTCCAATGGACCCGCTACAGTTCACCCACTGCCAGGGTAATCCATTACGCTGCTTGGCCAATAGGCTCCAACAATCACTCCAAGCACCGCGTGCCTCCATGTATCCTCCCCCTTCCTTTGCCCTTACCCCCCGCACCCTCCCTCCTCCCCCTCCCCCTCCTCACCTCTCCTCCTCCCCCACCAGCCGACCATCTGCAGCCCTCCTCTCTGCTGCTGCGAGGCCTGTCGGATCCAATTCAGTGCCTCCATTGTTCCACCCCGTTTTTTGAGGCGCCTCAAAAGCCGTTTCCACCCATTCCAGTGCCTCCATTGTTCCACCCCGTTTTTTGAGGCGCCTCAAAAGCCGTTTCCACCCATTCCAGCGCCTCCATTGTTCCACCCCGTTTTTTGAGGCGCCTCAAAAGCCGTTTCCACCCATTCCAGTGCCTCCATTGTTCCACCCCGTTTTTTGAGGCGCCTCAAAAGCCGTTTCCACCCATTCCAGTGCCTCCATTGTTCCACCCCGTTTTTTGAGGCGCCTCAAAAGCCGTTTCCACCCATTCCAGTGCCTCCATTGTTCCACCCCGTTTTTTGAGGCGCCTCAAAAGCCGTTTCCACCCATTCCAGCGCCTCCATTGTTCCACCCCGTTTTTTGAGGCGCCTCAAAAGCCGTTTCCACCCATTCCAGTGCCTCCATTGTTCCACCCCGTTTTTTGAGGCGCCTCAAAAGCCGTTTCCACCCATTCCAGTGCCTCCATTGTTCCACCCCGTTTTTTGAGGCGCCTCAAAAGCCTTTTCCACCCATTCCAGTGCCTCCATCGTTCCACCCCGTTTTTTGAGGCGCCTCAAAAGCCGTTTCCACCCATTCCAGTGCCTCCATTGTTCCACCCCGTTTTTTGAGGCGCCTCAAAAACCGTTTCCACCCATTCCAGTGCCTCCATTGTTCCACCCCGTTTTTTGAGGCGCCTCAAAAGCCGTTTCCACCCATTCCAGTGCCTCCATTGTTCCACCCCGTTTTTTGAGGCGCCTCAAAAGCCGTTTCCACCCGTTCCAGTGCCTCCATTGTTCCACCCCGTTTTTTGAGGCGCCTCAAAAGCCGTTTCCACCCATTCCAGTGCCTCCATTGTTCCACCCCGTTTTTTGAAGCGCCTCAAAAGCCGTTTCCACCCATTCCAGTGCCTCCATTGTTCCACCCCGTTTTTTGAGGCGCCTCAAAAACCGTTTCCACCCATTCCAGTGCCTCCATTGTTCCACCCCGTTTTTTGAGGCGCCTCAAAAGCAGTTTCCACCCATTCCAGTGCCTCCATTGTTCCACCCCGTTTTTTGAGGTGCCTCAAAAGCCGTTTCCACCCATTCCAGTGCCTCCATTGTTCCACCCCGTTTTTTGAGGCGCCTCAGAAGCCGTTTCCACCCATTCCAGTGCCTCCATTGTTCCACCCCGTTTTTTGAGGCGCCTCAAAAGCCATTTCCACCCATTCCAGTGCCTCCATTGTTCCACCCCGTTTTTTGAGGCGCCTCAAAAGCCGTTTCCACCCATTCCAGTGCCTTCATTGTTCCACCCCGTTCCACCCTTTCACGTCCCCGTTCCCTATCTCCCTCCCCTTCCCTGCCAGCCGAACCTCTGCTGGTACACCCCTCTCTGGAGCCCTCCCCTCTGCTGCTGCGGGGCCTGGGTAGCTTTACACCCGAGACTGATGTGAGCGATGGGAGGGGAAAGAGGGGGAAGGGAGCGAGGGCGGATGGATGGGATGGGAGGGGATGGGGGATAAGGGGGGATGAGGAGAGGATAAGGGATGATGAGGAGAGGATAAGGAGGGATGAGGAGAGGATAAGGGGGGATGAGGAGAGGATAAGGGGGGATGAGGAGAGGCTCAAGGGGGAAGAGGAATTCACCCTTCTCTCTAGAGCCCTCCCCTCTGCTACTGCGGGGACTGGGGAGATTTTCACCCGAGACTGATGTGAGGGATTGGAGGGGAGGAGGGATGGGAGGGATGGGAGGGGGTGAAGGATGGGGATGAGAAATGGGAGGAGTGGGTGGAGAGGAGGGATGGACCGTGGGATTTTTCAAGATAGGCTTGTGAAATACCAATCCATGAGTAAGTGGGGACAGAGGTGGCTTTTGACTAGATTCATAATTCAGCTTTTAGATAGGATTTTGAGTTTTGGCCTGTTTTGTTATGTGTGCTTCTGTTTAGCATATGGAAATATGTCCATTCGTGTGCATGTGTGTGTTTGTGTGTGCGAATCTGTGCATGTCTGCATGTCTGCGTGTTTGGCCATGTATGTGTGTGCATGCACATGTATGTGTGTGCATGCACATGTATGTGTGTGCATGCACATGTATGTGTGTGCATGCACATGTATGTGTGTGCATGCACATGTATGTGTGTACATGCACATGTATGTGTGTGCATGCACATGTATGTGTGTGCATGCACATGTATGTGTGTGCATGCACATGTATGTGTGTGCATGCACATGTATGTGTGTGCATGCACATGTATGTGTGTGCATGCACATGTATGTGTGTGCATGCACATGTATGTGTGTGCATGCACATGTATGTGTGTGCATGCACATGTATGTGTGTGCATGCACATGTATGTGTGTGCATGCACATGTATGTGTGTGCATGCACATGTATGTGTGTGCATGCACATGTATGTGTGTGCATGCACATGTATGTGTGTGCATGCACATGTATGTGTGTGCATGCACATGTATGTGTGTACATGCACATGTATGTGTGTACATGCACTTATATGTGTGTGCATGCACATGTATGTGTGTACATGCACTTATATGTGTGTGCATGCGTGCAAGTGAGCATTGTTCTTTCAGATGCGTAAGGTGGAGCAAGTGCGAAGAGAGAGCACCTATGGTGAGCTGAGGGCTGGAAAATACTATGACATTTCTGGGCTGGGGTAATCAGCACTTCAAAAAACAAAGGAGAAGCATGCATTTCTGAGAATGAATGGACTAAGTACGGGGCAAGGGTTGGCGAAAATCAGGGTATGGGATGGAGGAAGTGAGTATGTGAGTAATTTAGAGGTAAGGGTTGATTAATTTCATTCATGTTTCCACATTTATTACTCCTTGTACCATCATGATCACTTCACTAACGTATCCACCTTCCTTGTAATCGCATTTTTGCAGTCCCACCCGTTGTTCAGCGCGTTTATATCGACATTTCAGGAGCCAGCATGACATTTAAGGATGAAATACAGGTGTCGTGACATGGCATTGTTTTGCTCATGTTGGCTGCTGTACTTCCCATTTGTGTCATTTTTTAGAATCCGAGAAGATGTTAAAGATATGTTCCTAGGGATTTCTTTCTTTCTCATGGTGCTCTTGCGCTCCCCTGTATTCAGTGATAATTCACATAGAATGGAATATGCAATCCCATGTTGGTTGCTCCTTCCATCCGAAACCATGCCCCTCTTGTGTGTTCTTGTTCTGCTGCTTCTGGCATGGGTGCATGGTATGACATGGCATGTGTGCATGGGTATGGCATGGGTGCATGGAGACCCATGGCATGGCATGTGTGCATGGCGTATGGCATGGGTAATGGAAATGCATGGCATGGCACACCATGCATGTGGACATCAATCAGGTCCAGAACCCCATCAATGGTGAGTGGAATTTTTTATGCCATGCCATGCCACTACTTACCATGTCATTATACCGTGCCACATAACGTCCAATCCCATGGTGCATCTACACAAAGGCTGTGTTCTTGCCATGCCAGCTGCTGTACTTTTCTAAGTCTGCTGCAAGAACTCCAGCATCTCAAATTTATCTAGTCTCCACTCAACCAACTGACGTGCTTCTAACCACCCCCGCCTTAAAATGTCGAACTCTGATCCCCACCCGTCAGCACGTTTTGAGCCATCTCAAAACAAACTCCGATCCCCACCCTTCAGCACGTTTTGAGCCATCTCAAAACAAACTCCGATCCCCACCCGTCAGCACGTTTTGAGCCATCTCAAAACAAACTCCGATCCCCACCTGTCAGCACGTTTTGAGCCGTCTCAAAACAAACTCCGATCCCCACCCGTCAGCACGTTTTGAGCCGTCTCAAAACAAACTCCGATCCCCACCCGTCAGCACGTTTTGAGCCGTCTCAAAACAAACTCCGATCCCCACCCGTCAGCACGTTTTGAGCCGTCTCAAAACAAACTCCGATCCCCACCCGTCAGCACGTTTTGAGCCGTCTCAAAACAAACTCCGATCCCCACCCGTCAGCACTCAATTTCCTTGCAAAACCCAAACTGACTCACCTTTTTTGTCCCCTTTGGAAATGTTTCCTCCTTCCCCAGCTTTACCACCAGAAGAGCAGCAGCTGCTGCTGAGATTGGCGGAACTAGCAGAGAAGGATGAAGGGGAGGGTGAGAGTGGGAAACGGGAGGGGGAGGAGGGGGAGAGTGGGGAGCAAGAGGGGGAGGAGGAGGGGAAGAGTGGGGCACGGGAGGGAGAGGGGGTGGGAGAGAGTGAAAAACGGGAGGGGAAGGAGGAAGAGAGTGGGGAACGGGAGGGGGAGGGGGAGGGGGAGGGGGATAATGGAAAACGGGAGGGGGAGGGGGAGAGTGGGAAACGAGAGGGGGAGGAGGAGGGGGGGAGTCAGAAACAAGAGGGGAAGGGGGAGGGTGAGAGTGGGGAAGCAAAGGGGAAGATTGGGGAAGGGGAGGGGGACGGGCAGAAGGCGGAGGAGGAAGATAGGGAAAGGGAAAGTGAAATCGATGTGAGTAGAGTGAACAGGGAGAAGGCAGGGGAGGAAGCAGAGGGAGAAAGGGAGGGTAATAAGGGAAGGGAAGAGGAAGAGGAGGCGAAGGAGGAGGAGGAGGAGGTTACGACGGAAGCAGCATAGCCGAGAAAGCAGAGGGCAGTGGAGGGAGAGGAGGGAAGTGGTGGAAACGAGGGGGTGAAAGAGGGAGAAGAAACTAAAGGGAGTGGAATAAGAGTTAAGATAAGAGCACACGATGAGGAAGATAGATGAGAGGGAGTCACAAAGGCAAAGAGAGTGACGAAGGAGAGGACGAAGAGGAGGGGGGGGAAGGAGATGCTAGTTATTTCAAGAGAATGAGAAGGAATGCCATACTTAGTGCCGATTTTAGCAGACCTGCATGTGACAAGGAGCAATGTGGGGTGTATGGTACTGTATTGACCAGAAGTGACAATGTTGGTGATTGGTATAAAGGCACGATGTACATGTCTTGTCTCATAAATCTGATAGTGAGGGTGGTAGTGTTACGGTATGTGGGCCTCATGTTAAAGAGAACTAGTTGCGTGCAAGGGCATAGTAAAGCCAGACTGGATGGTGCCAAAACCCATCGAGAAATGTTGTACACTGGATTTCATGTCAAACTACCGGTAGGTTATTTTACAGTGTAGGGGTGGCCATCAGAGCGTATAGCAAACTTTGGGATCAAGCTCAAATATGCAAAGTACGTAATTCCAACTATCATTATGGCAATTTTCAGATAATCCAGTACGTTCAAAACTTCATCAGGAAAATGATGACTACCACTTTTGACCAACTAAACCGGTTTAAAGGATCTCACTGTAGCATCTGCATGGAGTATCATAAAGTAGTTGCGATTTGTTACGAGTGCAATTGAGTGAACGAACGAGAATTGCACTATCGAAGCAAGGATCCAATGAGCGAAGGCATGAGCGAAGAATATATAGCGAAACTACAGTGGTAACGGTAATGGACTATGGTTGTCGCGCGACGAGCCTGGGACTGAGGTTGGGAAAGTGTCGAAGCGGAGGCCCGGAGCGCGGGTTACCAGCCGAGCCGTGATGTCGGGGTGCGATGTGCGAAAATGGCGGGATGATTGTCGATGCGAGGATCGCGAGTGGTAACGGTGCTGACTGAGGTGCTACAGTGATGTACGCGTTGAGCAGGGATGCGAAGTAAGGAAAAGGGATTTTCCTTACACTACCCCCCCTCCTAAGGAGGTCCTCTTTACGAAAGAGCGTGGACGTCCCTGAAGTTTCGGCTGCGCAGATATTCGGTGAGTATAGGGTGGTTTTCAATTCTGTCCAGGGGAACCCAGTTGTCCTCGGTGGGTGTATGGTCTTTCCAGCGGAGCAGGAACTCGATCTTTCGGGCTCCTCGAGGGTCGCGAACTCTGTGGCTCAGAATCTTGTCGGGGGTGATGATTGGTTCGGTTGGCGGACGAGCCATGCTGGCTGGGCAATTTCGTGGGAGTTGGCTTGTGGATGGTACGTAAGGGCAAAGCAGGCTGACGTGGAACGAGGGGCTGACGTGCCAGTCAGCAGGGAGGAGGAGGTGTGCATTGACAGGTGTTATCATATGGGTAATTCGAAATGGCCCGCAGTATCGAGGGCGGAGTTTGGGAGTGATGGGCAGGCGGAGGTTTTGAGTGTCGAGTAAAACGAGGTCGTCGGGCTGGTAAGTGACAGGTGTGCGGTGGCGGTCAGCGTTGCGTTTAGCGATGATGTTTGATTTTTTTATTGCTTCTGCTGCCCTGGTTCGTGCTGCTTGCAAAATCTCAGCGAACTGTTGTGCGCGTGGAACGGGGTTGTCGGGATTCGGGGTCATGGGTACTGTTGGGTCTTGTCCGTAATTCAGGTAAAATGGTGACTGTTGGGTCGTGGCGGATGGGGCGTTGTTGTATGCGAATTCGATGAGTGGCAGTTGCTGTTCCCACGTGTTTGGATCATCGCACGTGGCCCTAATGAGCTGTTCCATGGTCTGGTTTGTCCGTTCGGTCTGTCCGTCGGTTTCGGGGTGATACGATGAACTGAACTGTAGGCGCGTGCCGAACTGCTGCCACAGGTTCCGCCAGAAGTTGCTAGTAAACTTCGTGTCTCTGTCGCTGATGATTGATGCTGGTATCCCGTGCAGTCGAACGACGGTAGAGATGAAGAGGCGGGCTGTTTCTTCGGCTGTGATTGATTTCTTGCAGGCTGCGAAGTGTGCCATTTTCGTCAGTCGATCGACGACGACCAGGATCGCGTCATTCCCACTCGCCCCGGCCGGTAACCCCGTGACGAAGTCCATCGTCACTTGCTGCCAAGCACGCTCTGGAGGTGGGATTGGTTGC